CGCATGGAAGACCACAAAATAAAGAAATGGCCAGTCACCTACTAGCAAGCGTGCACCTGTTTCTTACTCGGTTCCACGAAGGTGGGTTGCACGCAGGTCAACAGTGGAAGACGAAAAACACACAAACCTGGGTTTCATGCGATGCTCTCACGCCGCTTTTCTGGACTTAGGCGTTTCAAGGTGTCCGCCACCATCTGCAGAAAGCTCCTCAGAAACGCAGCAAAGCCTTGAGACGAAAGACCCTTGTGATCACGTTCGCAAAGTCATGGCTCGATGAGAATAGGCAGTCTTACAGTCTTACCATTGAGACTCACTGATCTCTCGACTTCATCTCATGTATACTGTAAAGGATGTTCTATTTTGTTCTATTCGCAATAGTTCTCTTCTGCCATTCTTGTTGATTTATTCTTGATGCACACCAACTGAACCGGCTTTGCCTGCATGGGGTACCGAAGCTCTTGCGTGGCTGTTTTGCTGGCCTGCAGCTTGCAAATTGGAGTGCGTGGAAGGCAAATTGCCAAGGTTGCGCATTTTGACATGTGTTCAGTCAAATCAGCACATAAATAGGTGATGGTTCTTGCCAGCCTGGTCTGCAACACTCCTGCGCCCATGCGAGTCTGCAGTTAGACTGCTTAATCTTGATTGATCTTGACTGCAGAAGAGCATTGAAACGATGCTGAACACTGGCAGCCCCCCCAAAAGCTTGCCACGCCTTTTGGGAATCGAGTTCACGGCAATTGCCATGTTTGGCTTGAAATTCTCTGGTCCTGTCATTGGAGCCGATGGAGCCGATCTTTTCTTGACCTGAAGCAGAGCAAATTGAAAGAACATGTCAAGAAAAATGAAAGCGACGATTGCCAAGGGTGTTGCTGTGACAATGTCACTCCCAGATGTTGGTTTTAGGCTTGCAGCTTCCAGCCATCGGTGTCTTTTCTCTACTGCTTGTCAGACTGGACTTTGTCGTTGGTGCAACTAGTTCCCTGTGGTGCCTGTCTTTAGAGTCCAGCTTGACTGGTGCCTTGACCTTGAGAGATGGGTGGTACCTCTTGCACCAAAACGCTCGCACTGATGCTTTAAAAATATTCTGCGGTTGTGGTGAATTGAAAGCACACTTTCTATGATAACAATGTACAATGTACTACGGGCCATGCATCTTGCAACTCTTCCGGCACCGAGGTGAGGGCTTCCGGCATTTTTGTGCGGGCTTTGGCAACCAGCATAGTCCCACCTCATGCAGCCAGGCATACATCCAAGGAGCAGGCCAAGGAGCAGGGAGCATGAGCAGGGAGCAGGCCAAGGCTGCTAAGGTCGGTGTTCGAGAAGGATATGTTCTGCCGCGAGCTGTTCACTCAGTGTTGGGATAAGGCTCAGACAGCTCATATGCATGGTATCGCTATTATCCTCAGTAAAGCAAGACAAGAATCCGCGTTTGTTAGAGTCTACCTTTCTGTGGCAAACAAAAATGCAACTCCATCTTGGTGGTCTGGAGAAGAAGCTTGCGGGCTAGGGCAAGGACTTTATTATTGGTATTCCTGGTATCACCTGCTGGACCAGCACTTCCGGTTTCGGATTCACACCTGGGTGAAATCAGACCAAAAACAGCACAGGTTCAAAATATTGGCACGGCATGTTTGACTAAACATCCTCGGAACAAAGGCAATGCGGCAAGGCTCAGATTGCTTCAAGTTGCGCAGTTCATGCAAACAAAACACAACCAAGCAAATGAACAGAGTCATTAGTGTTTTGACAATTGATTCAAAGTGTTCAGTGTCTGCGATGACGTCTTCGCGCGAGTCGTAAGAACAGTGTCGCAGTGCCCTCCCTTTGCACGTGCTGCACAAATGACCCTGCATCGCCCAAGTCATAATGTTTGTAAAGAAATGGCGCAGTTGAACCGTGTATAATTTTGGTAGGACCACTAAGTCGAAAGTCACTTCACATACATTACGCATGAATGTAAAACCCTTGACATCGACTCACCAGAAGCCAGAGCCAAGGCCACTGCAATCAGAAAAACAGATCGGCGGCATCGGAGCTTCAGTCATAGTTTCCATGGTTTCTCGGCCTGCAATGGCAAGAGGTGCAAATATTGGCAACTGGCACACAACCTGCAAGACATAGCACAAATGTCTGGGCGTGATCTGTCTCCTTGTGGCATTTGACATGCTAGCCTACTCGCATTAACTTTGTGTCTCACAATTCAAATAGTCACGGCTGCCTCACTCTCCAACTCTCCACTATCTCCACTGTTTCTTATTGGTCAGCTTCCGTTTATAAATTCCCACGGCCTGGGCCTGCTTCAAGTCAAATAATCTTGAGCACTTGCGAGCGGTGCAAGGGACCAAACGCAAGTGGTTGATCTGCTGGTTCCCATTAAAACCAAATCTCCCAAGCCCCACAAGCCGATTGTGCTAGAGGTCTTGAAAAATGAACGAAGTGGCATTCACCGAACAGAGGCTGTCCACACGAATGGGAAACTGGACATAAAGACCAGGTTTCAATTTGCTCTTTGAGGATATGGTTTACAAAATATAATTGTCTTGCTCATGCCAATTTGGAACGTGGCAAAAAGTGTCACAAGCGGAGAGCAAGAGGTTGATAGTCACCCGGGACTGGCAACTAAAGTTGCTGCCAACTTTGCGTGCTTACGCTAAGACGCAAGCAATAGCCTTCTGTGGGACCTTCACTTGATTATATTATATATATATATAGATCGAGGACACGATTTACATCGATCTACATGTGGTAATGTTAAAAAGGAATGAATGGAGCTCATTGCAGTTGCGACGTGGTGTTCCGTGTCTTTTAGGGACCGTTTCCACCCAAAGCAAATCTTTGCAGTGGCATTAGCCTCAGCTGATTGTCAGCACCGGTCAATTCAGTGACTAACTGAGCAAAACTCCAGGTAGTCCCACAATTCAGCTGAGAGCCAAGTCTGGCCAAATTTCGATAGCTGCCCACGTCACCAGGGCAAAGTTGAATGATTCACCGGAACAAGTTCCACAGTGGAACCAGGCTGAGCTGGTTGGCGCTGTCAGCTTTGCTGACTCCGCCAAGTGCCTTCAACTTGGTCCTTGCTTTCACACCAATGAGGTAAGATTGCCACACTGTCCAAATCCGCTCCTTCACTTCTTCTGGCGCGGCTGGTCAATTTCTCAAATTGTTTCTGAAACAACAGATGACCAGGAGCGACGCATCTGTTTCTTGTGGTGAAACAGACCCCAAGCCAGGCTCGGTGTCTGGGCAGGCAAAAGGGTTTGCACAAATTTGTGTCAAAGTCTGCAACTCATTGCAATGTTGATGTCCAAAGGTCACGGTCACCAACAATCCAGAGTAGCATGTTCACTCTATCACTGTCACTGGTATTTGTGTTGTTTGGAAACGTTCGCTAACACAATCACGCTGATCCTAAATAAAGAAGCCTTTACATTTGAGATTTCAATGTGTTGCCGCAAACGACAACAAGTTTATATGACGTGCATTATATAATGTACTGTTTGCTACTCCTGTCTTTGGTTTGTAAAGTGATGCAGTTTACTGAGCGCTTTGCTGCTATACTTCCTGAGATCTCTGAGGAACGACAATTGTTGGTTTTACACCTGTGACAATTGCCCTAAGTCTGAGTGTGTACAATCTTTGGGCATCTTCTGCTTGAGTCATCTCTCAGTACCGCAAGACGGTGAGGCGCAGCGTGCTCTCCTACACACCAAAGGAAAAATGCACATGCTCATTAGTGGTCAACTGTCTGTGGTGGAGCCTACGGCGGCATGGATTTCTGAGAACCTTGGGGTCTCAAAAATGAAATTATACAAGCATAGACCCCAAACAGCTTAGTCGGCAAGAGTTGTTGCTGTGGGCGGCCGCAGCCCAGCCCCTGCCTTGGAAAGCAACATAAACAGCACGACAGCAGCAGGACAACAGAAAGACCAGAGGAGGACATGAGGAGGACCAGAAAGAAAGAAACATGAACACACCAAAAGGACAAAAGAAGGACAAGCTGTAACCAGACAACACCAAAAGGACAACAGGACAACATGAGGGGAGCTGACCAAGAGGAGAACAGCAGGAGAAGAGGAAGAGGGGATAAGTGAAACACAACACGATGAGGGAGGAGCACGACCGGAGATTGGCTGGCAGCCGCGGCCAGTGAACACCTGAAACGGACAACAGGAAGGCAATAGAAGAACAAAGGAGGACAGGGCCGAAAAGATCATGACAAGGGGAGCAAAGGAGGACATCCGGACATCGGTTTCTGGGGTTGCCGTCCGGAGCTGTCTTTCGATTCTAGTGCCTCACTGCTTTGTAGCGCACGCTCGCATCTTGTCATGTTTACATGCTGACAGGCTGCCAAGTGGCCATGCTGCGGTACTGCGGTCTTCGCGCTTGCCGGCTAGCGCTTTCGCACTGCCACACAACCCTTGCGCGTGTGCATTTGTCTTCTCGCGTTGGACCCTTTGGGGCCGGTGCTTCGCGCGCGCACGCTGTCATGGCGTCATGTCTGCATGCGGCCATTCTGTCATCTGGACACCAGAAGAAGGACAACGAGGTGACAACAGGAGGACAAGAGGAGACGAAGAGGACAACAGGGGGGAAAAGAGAAAGGACAAAAAGAGGACAACAGGAGGACATGGTCTGGAGCCGGTGGCAACAAGAGGACAACAGGAGGTGAAGAACGTGACAAAAGGAGGACAACAGGAGGACAAGAAGAGGACAACCGGACGACAAGAAGAACGACAAGAGGAGGAAAAGAGAAAGGACAAAAAGAACAAGAGGAGGACAATGTCTGGAGACCGGCTGGCAGCCGCGGCCAGGCTGCACACCAGATGAAGGACGAGAAGAGGACAGCAGGAGGACAACACCGGGACACAGCGTTCACCGGCGTGGCCAGAGATTGCGGCCAGCTTCTTTTCTTCCAGAACCCCAACAGTAAACTGCTTTTTCCTCTTCAAGCTGCACGATCGCAGGCCCAGACTAATGCCTGACCACAGTGAGACACTAACCGGCAATCTACGAACGAAGTGAGCGAACGAAAAGGGAAGAGGAACTGGACGTGCACGAACCTAAGTGCGGAAACAGCCTGTAAGAGGGTGCTGTATGGGAGCAACATGATCTGCATCAACACAAATCGGCCAGTGAATCCGGGAAAGCGCTGCGAAGTGGTCCCTTAGCGGGAAGCTGTACAAGAAAAGCCTGGAAGGCGGAAACCGCAGCATGCTCAAAAACACACCTGGCCCCAATGCCAGAAGCACGAAAGCAAGCACCAAAACCCAACACTGATCTCGAGAAGGCATCAAACGAATCTGAGCGAAAACAGTGGCAGGCTTGGCCAACTCATTACCTTCAACATTCCTAATGCAATATGCCGATCTGGATTTATATATTTCAAAAGTAAACTGTTTGGGTAAAAAAGAGAAACATGCACAGAAGGGCACCAAACCAATCAATGACATGTGGTAGAATCGCGGGCGTTCCGAATCGATTTTACAGACTTCTGGACTATAATGCGGGTGGCGCTATTTGCATGTTGTTTTGCTTTTGGCTTGGGATCTAGGATCCACAGCTGGGCCTTCTTGATCTTCTCGACCATCGGGAGACCGAGCAGCGGCTCGCCATTCACTTTCACCACACGGTCACCCGGCAAAACGGAGTCTTCTGGATGTTCAGCATTCCACCTCGAGAGCAGGCCTGTGCAAAGAAAGTCCAAAAAAAGTCTTATATATAGGATCTGAACTTGGATCTTACAATTTCGCACCGCGCTCGACAAGATGGGTTCAAGTTACCACATCCAGGCCTCCATCCATGAGCTTGGTCAGCACAAGCCTTACTCACATATCGATCAGGATTGAAAGTGTATGAGACCACTGCACTCCCGCAGGGCCGGTGGGCGGAAGCTTCACAGGTGTGACAAGGGTCACGTGATGAGGTTTTGTGCCGTGATGCGGATGCGATGATGAGTCATGCAGTGCATCACCACTAGGTGTTTGCACCCCTTCAACTCAACACTACTGAGACCACTGGGACTCCTAGTGAAATGCAATTCTCACCACAAACTTCCGCAGCGCTGACAATGCGCTCTCACTTCTCCGAGCCCATTCTCCCATAGAACTGCGTGATAGACTGTAGCTCTGTACCAACCTTTCGGCCCTGCCATTGCACTTTGCATCCGCCAGCAGGGCGGTACAAAACACCTCCAACACCTGCTACAAAACCTGCGAATTCGCTGGGGATCGGCCCAAAACCAACCCACGACCAGCCCGCTTACATGCCAACTGCAACTTGTCGTGACTCAGAAATTTATCTTCAAAACGTCCTGTTGACCAGGCCAGACGTGTCAGAAAAGGATCCAACAACAACACATGACAGCTTTGGCACGAGGGGTATCGCGTTCCAAACAGGCCTTGAAGAAGGCAGTACCAGTAATACAGTATGGTTGGCAAAGACCAAAACACAAAGTTCCACTCTTGGAGTCACTCCTGGCGAGAAGTTACAGTCAAGCTTCCCAGCAGATGAATCCTTAAAGTCCATCTGTGCCCCCAATGGATCCGACTTCTTGGGGATGTTCACAGAACGCTCCTGCGGCCGAGCAAACACCTCTCTCAGTGTAGGTTTCAATGTAGGGCTTCAGCTGAAGCGACTCGCTTTGTGAGTGAACAAATATTTACACATCCTCACTTCCAGAGGCATGAGATATTTAACCTCATTCACTGGCAACCCTCTTTGAACCCCACCCGTCCTTCGGTCGAGTGAGCTTCAATTTCAACGAATCCTGTCAGATTCTTGCGGTCTGCTTGCTCTGACTCCAAACTTTCTAAAGCATCCAAGCACATGTGCAAAGACTGTTCACGAAGTTACAAGTGGATTGTGGCTTGTGCCACATGGAAGTGACACATTGCGGTGTTCCTGTCAAGAGTCAAAACTCAACGCATTCGCCAAAAGCTTGACAACTTCAGTCGAAACACAGACTTTCATCAAGTCATGATGTGATGCTCGGTGTGGTTCTAATCTGCAAAACAAACTCTTGCGCACATCTGCATCTCAAGGCTAATCCAACACTTTAAAGCGCACTTTAAAGCACTCCAAATTTCAAGAAGAATCAAGATTGCACAACATTGATAAACCCAACGGGTTGGTTTTGAAGACTATTCCTGAAAGTGTCCTGTAGTTACAGTACTTTGTAATAAGGGTTGCGTGCAATACTCCCTAAAAAAAGGTGTTCTTGTTCATCTAATTCCCAACTCAAAGGAATATTGGAATATGCACATGCTTGCAAAATTGAATGGCAAAGCGTTTCAATTGCATGTTGGATGAGCTACTCAGCAGCTCTCCCAAAATTGGTGTTCTTGGGAATTTGTTGCTAATTCACCTTCTAATACATTAACCACAATGATTGGCCGCTCGCAAAGTCCATGTACGCCGGGCTTTTCAGGAGTGAAATCACCCGCAGCCGTGCTGAGCTGAGCCTGCTTTCCTCATAGTGTTATCTTTTTCTCAGAGGATTATGTACAAAGATTTTGAGCTGTTTCGATGAACCTTGGCAGCCTTGGGCAGAACAGCAATGCTTCTGAGCCCGGATACTCAACTTGTCAACCTCAAATCATGCAAAAAATGTGGCCGGCTCCTTTGCTTTGAGCAGCAAGTCGGAGAGATCATCCAAAGAGCCTGTCTCCCCGTTCACAGAGCTGATGCGATCCTTGGGGTGTTACGCCAACATCACGCGGCAATTAATTATCGCCGCCAACAAGCTTGTGTACACTCTCTAGTGTGACTTACGCACGCAGCCCCAGGGCCCCAGGGAAAAAAGACACTTATCCGCCGACCCCACACCGTGGGGTGAGGCGTGACTGTCGATGTTAGCCTTAGGCCTTAGCCTTAGCCTTAGCCTTAGTCCTTAGCCTTAGACCTAGTCCTTAGCCTTAGACCTAGACCTAGACCTTACCTCCCCTACCCCTCCGGACCCTTGTTGGAGTTACGAAATTGTGCCCTGAAAGCTACCTGAGCGACCCGGGAATTGTCCAAGATTCTGCCATCCCAATTGATTTACATCTTGGGGCACCCTCTCGACCCGCGCGGGAAAATAAGCACGGTCCAAAATGGTCCTGGGCTCGAATCCCGGGCTGGTCGCGGCATGGTCCCGGCCAATGCCCTTGCTTTTTCGTAGATTTTGTCACGTTTTCTGTTGGTTTATGAGATTTTCAAAGGCTTTTCTGGCACTTTCCTAGGAGTGCTGTAGGCTTTGTCTAGATTTTGTTATGTTTTCGGCTAGCGTTTCTTCTGGTAGGTTTTCAAAGGCTTTTCTGGCATTTTCCTAGGAATGCTCTAGGCTTTGTCTTTTTGGGTACCTGCTTTGGTGGTGCTGGGTTGGGTCTAAATTGGTAAACCTGGGAGGTACCCAAAAAGTCGACTTTTTGGGTACCTGCTTTGGTGGTCAAGGGTTGGGTCTAAATTCTTGGGCAATGATCGGGGTTCATGCAAGAGCTGACGTCCGATGGTAAATCTGGGAGGTACCCAAAAAGTCGACTTTTTGGGTACCTGCTTTGGTCGTGCTGGGTTGGGTCTGCACTCTTAAGGCTAAGGCTAAGGCTTAAGGCTAACATAGAGCAAGGCTAGCGCTAAGGTTCTATCCCTTGGGGGTCGGCGGCTGCAGGCGGTAGCCTGGTAAATAAACTGTACAACTGTATTGTACAAGAAACACCCAGGTCGATTTTCACACCCATTGGGCCAATCTCACTGACCAAGAATGGCCACATCACTAAGTGGAATGAACATGAATGAACCATGTGCATAGATCTTCCTGTTGTCCAACAGGTGCTTTAGTCTACCATGGGCAGTCAAGAATTGCTGGCCAGCTAGACATAAACTAGTGTGCTTGGCAACCTTGCAAAATGCAAAAAGATAATATTGCCTTCAAACTATGTAGGAAGTCACAAGACTTTGTTCAATGCCCTTGCAGCTGAGAGAAAGCCATGAGCTTGTCATTGCTGTATTGATTGCCATGCTCCTGGCATCCAAGCTAAGCGTCGAAGGGCTGCAGGGCTCGCTCAGGAAACTTGACGTTGTATTCCTTCACCAATCCATCAGAGATCTTGGTGATGGTCAGGCCTGAACAAATAGAAGAGGACTCAAAGAGGCTCCTAGTTTCTAAAAAAAGTGTCTCAATTATTCATGAAATAGCAAGCATAGTTCCTGTGTTCGTCCGTTCATCCTCCAATTTCAGCCGTGCCTTTGCTGTCAATGAAGTCATAATCAAGGCCGAGACTCCCATCTGTCCTCCGTTCGTGGCAAGCTACCTGTAATTAAGCTGCACGTGCCAATCAATGTCGAGACCGGCGTCCGAGCTATCGACAGAAAAAACTGGCGCAGAAAGCTTCCTTCCCCCTTGCATGTCCCCATCCTCCCCGGCTGAATTGCGGATGGAACTATCTCCACCTGAGCCGTGGCAAGGTGTAAAAGTAAAAGCCAAAGCCATCAATCGGACTTGGGGGCCAAAAATGATTCAGTGCACGTGGATGGTTGAGTCAAGAGCCTCTCTCAATGCAAGTAATCCCTTCTCGACATCACTTCTCTCAGTGGAATACAAAAAGAATCCACAGGAATGCACGGAACGCATGGCATAGATGTTACTAGGAGCAAGGACGCTACTAGGGGCTCCTGGCATCGCTACTAGGAGCAAGGACGCTACTAGGTGCTCTCCTCTGCACTCGCATCATGTTGGCTCAAGATGTTGCCAGCACCTCGAACTCACCTTCGGTGATGGGAGTTGGCACCTTCGGCGGATCCTACACCATCAAACAATCACAAGGGCAAAAGCAGCATGGCAGTGTTGAGTGCGAGGTGTTCAGCATCACGTTGGTCCTTCACCACCTTCACTTCCTTCACTTCCTTCACCTCCTTCACCTCCTTCACCTCTGCTGGGACTGTCGATTTTCCTGATTGGCCAAAAAGGAAAGCTTCAAGCAGCTTCACACATATATATATATATATAATACATATTAACTCACATAAGCGACTTGTGCAGGAAACGTCTCTTCTGCAAGGGAACAGCAACACTCAAATCAACTGTATGTCCTGGAGATTCTTGCAGGGTCCCCATAGAACTGTGGGCATCAACTTCTGCGAAAGTGCCCTCTTCATCAGCGGAGCCACAGCAAGCGCAAAACATTGCAAAGCAAGGCTAGAGGAGCTTCAGTGACAGCTTTAGCACTCCCAGTCTTGAGCAGTAGCAGCTGGTGCAAGAAAGCGAAGATGCAAGAAACCCACCCAAGCAGCTTGTGAGGAAGTTTCAAAGAAGCATCAAGACGTCCATTTTCGTCATACCGGAAAGCTAGATCTTGAGGCCTGTTCAGAGCAGGGCGCAAGGATAGCTGATCTCTGCTTGCTTCCTTCCCATCATAGTTTGGATAGTTTTCAAGTGCTGGACTTGAAAAAGCAAATATGATGCTGATTTGAGGATCTGCACCTGCCTCATTGCCAAGCAAGGCGCCTTTTCTTGCTGGGTGCCTGCAGCAAATTCAACACTTTGAATCCACAAGATTAAACTTCCTGAGAGTGCAATTTCATGCAAAATACACGAAGCAGCAAAGCAATTCCAAGCAATGCAAGGAGCTGTGCTGGACCAGATTATTGCGGCTTCTGTTAGGGTGCGATCTCTTTCCCGCTTTTGCACAGCTTTCGCCTCAAGCCTCCTCTGAAGAAAGGCAGGAAGCGCAAAGGCAGCTGCCTCAATGCAAACTTGCAATCAGGTGCATCCTTGCGAATTACATGATAATTCTAGACATTCTGGGATTCCATGCATGCATCTCCGGTGTGTAGTAACGCAGCTCCATGTCCTTTGGCCTTGGCAACTGAAAAGGAATCTAGATTACACGCTGCCGCCTTGATGCTTCTTGGCCCGTCGCTCACGGACCGGCCAACGGCAAGACACCTCACCTAAGTTCCAGATTTGCTGACTCGACAATTAAATGCCAAACCTGTTCGGTCCAAAAGCCAACTGACTAAACTTCTGAAGCGCATGGTTGAAACCTTCTTGCACAGGACGTAGTAGGTCTGAGAGAAAAACCTTTGCCACCGCGCTTTCGCGCCATGAAAGCTCCAATTTGGCCGGATGGGTATGTAGGAACCTGCCCAACAACAAGGAAAAATCAAGAAATTGAAAAAGAATGATTGTTCAAAGATATATATATATATATGTTGTGTTTATTTTTTAGCTTAACTGGTTCTGTTTTGCACCAAGCTGCTGCATGGCTTTCTACACCAAATGAGACATGCTGCACTGCCAAAGTGCAAAGTACTGCGACATGCGGCATCAGTCAGCTAGAAACCTACATTATTGTGGAAAGAAAGTTTGCCTCCAACGCAAAGAACTATATATATATATACATGTATATATATATATTTAAAAATCCATTATATTCTGTATTCGTGCACTTGATTTTGGATCTGTATGCGTGTTGCACTGCAAGTTCTGGCTGAAATTGATACTTGGAAGCTTGCCTGAATAGTCGCATACTCGGCTGAAGCAAAGCAGGCCTCAACACAGGGCTTGAAAGGGTGACCCTTCAAAATGTCTTCTCACATCCATCTGCCACATTCACTCATAGAAGCAGAATGTCAAAAGCTATGAGCTCCTTGCCCCATAATCCTGCACCATTGTAGCTATGAGCTCCTTGAGGTGGTATAGATCAAGGAAGCTCTGATTCAATCAGAGCCAAGATGTCGTGCACCCAGAAAATCAAGGTGGTCCTCATTGAGCCAGAGGCATTCACCTTGTGAGCAAATAACGCCACCAGGCTTCAAGATCCTTTCAGCATTCCTTGGGCAAAGGGTTTCTATCAAATGCAAACTCTGGTGGCTTTACTTCCAACAACGGCCAATAAACTTTTGCCTGGCCTGGGACTTCAACGAATTGGTACAATGATAGTCACTCCTGGACTCCTCTTCAAATTGAAGCAGTTTCAATGAACTGCAGGTTTGTCCCATCCAACTTGCAGCCAGCTGGCACGTAGAATTCTTTTGAGAACCTTAGAGCCATGCCCGCAGAAAGCTCTCGTGTTGCCTGCTTATATTAGGTGGAAAGGTTGGTTTACAAGTGTCAAAAATGTTGCCGCAAATCGCTGGCTCCTTCGACAAATAGAAACTTACTCAGCTTCCCCCGTCGCCAGCTATAGTCTGTACTGGGAATGCATTTGGTTGCTTTAAGCCGAAGCTTAAATGGCACATCAAGAGTTCCATTACGTGAGAAGGAAGGGAGAATACGAAAGCCGGTGTTTGCAAGGCTGGCGCGCGGGCATTTTTTTCCACGCACGGGCAAAGCGGTGCAACTAGCGATCCATTCACCTTTAAGCTACTAGAAACAAGTGCATCGCTACTAGTAACAAGTGCCTTACTAGTAGTAACAAGTGCCTTACTAGTAATTTAAATTAATTCTAATTCTTGTTTCTACTAGCTTCTTGTTACTACTAGTAAGGGCACTTGTTACTACTAGTAACAAGGACGCTAGTCTATCTCCCAGTCTCTCCAGCATATTTCTCTTCTGTCCATCTATCCATCCCTCCCTCCCTCCCTCCCATCCACCAACCCACCCACCCATTCTTTCAACCAGCCATCCGTGACCCATCCACATCTAGTTCATCGCTCTATCTCTGCAGCTTATCTTTCTCTCTCTCTCTCTCTCTCTTCCTCCCCTTCCCCTTCCAGGTAGATCGATGTATTCCTAGCTGGATGGTGAAGAGAACTTTGTGGATAGTTCATGAATGGCCATGGAGGTGGGTGAATAGATGGATGGATGAGTGGATGAGTGGGTGGGTGGGTGGCTGGCTGGCTGGCTGGATGGATGGATGGACGGATGGATGGATGGAATGTCACCAGCACCAGTGGGATAGGTGGCTGGATAAGGGTGCCCCTGGACTCGGTGCTGGAAAGTATGTGTGAGAGAGTAGATGTGGATGTTCGGGGGTAGATGGCTGGATAAAAGCAATGCTTGAGAAGATTGAGAGTCCACTCTAGGGCGCAGTTGTTGGAAGGGCTGACCAGTTGAAGAAGGGCGCCTCTTAAGCTGTTAAAGCCTTTTCCGGGACTGTGTGCCGCTTACAGGTAGGTTGATGGATTGCTAGCTGAATGGACAGGTTGGTGGATGGTGCAAACAGTGAAACCTGTCGCATCATCGACATCATGAATACAACAAAATCAATATGTTTTACACTCTACACCCCCTTTGTCTCAGTTCGTTCGCAAAAAATATAACAAAAAAAAACTCGCCTAGCCTATCGGCTGTCTTTCGTGAAAATGCCCATCGCAATTGCGAAAAGTTAAAAGAAATCTCGACCCCTGTGGCCAGCCGCACCTGCGAAATCAAACGGGTCTCCCTTTGCTTTGGGATAACATCAATCTATGTATGGAGACTTTGAAGGATATCTATTGACTTCAAGGCGCATTTGTGATGTATGCAACATCGAACAAAGGATGCGGGGCACAAGACCAACCGAGAACCTCAAGAATAGCAAGGAAACCGCCGATGGCTTGAAGTGGCGTGGACGGCTGCGTTCGACTGTGTTCATGCTGTAGGCATAGGTGCGGGAAGAAAGATAAGTACGTAAAGCCGTAAAGGCAAGGAATCTTCTCAGCCTGACCCCTTGGTCTCTGTAGGTAGGAAAGCAATATGTTGAGTTTCCCCAAAAATCAAGGAACCAAATCATTAAGGCTCGGGCTTCTTCTAGGAAGCTCCCCTCGCCTTGAAGAAGCTTTACCTGCATCCAAGCCTAAGGAGCTCCTAGGAAGCCTACGGCCTAACCCACACAGAAAACGTACAAAGAGAATCTTCTAGCTGTGTCGCAGCGATGTGTCTTTCCTTCTGCCCTTTCCACTTCGCTCAACGGCTATTCAATGACCAACCGTATTCAAACTTTTCGTGCATTTCACGAGGCAACCCTACTTGATAGGGTTGGCCTGTCGGTGAATTGACTGGTGGTGTCCGCCCTTTGCCGCTGGCCATGTAGCATTTCTATTCATTTGTCTCGCAGGTCTGTCACTGCTGGTGTCCGCCCTTTTCCCTTGGCCATGTAGCATTTCTATTCATTTGTCTCCCAGGTCTGTCGCTGCTGGTGTCCGCCCTTTTCCGCTGGCCATGGTGTTGTGGGTTGGGTCGTCGAGGTAGATTTCGAGGACATTGCTGGACACAAGGCGGGCATGCGAGGTCTTCAAATCGTCCATTGCAATGCTGTGAATACCAACACTGAGAGAGTCCGACTACTATTTTACAATGGTTACTTTATGCAATAAATTGCAGCGTTCAGTTTGCTGTCTCAGCAACAGTTTCTCTGCAGGGCCAACAGGATCGGATGAGTCCACAATGATGACGTCAAAGCTGTTGTCCTGGGCAGCCCAACACTTGTGTGAGGAAGCTACTGGTAACAAAGGGCATCGCTACTACGAGCAAGGACGCTACTAGTCGCTCCTGGCCTTACTACTAGCAACAAGAAGCTACTAGGGGGCTTCGCCTTGAAAAGGCACAAGCGATTCTGCACAAAAGTATGCGAGCTCAAATGCGCACAGCAGCACGGACAAGTTTCTTGAGCCAAAAGCGGTCACGTCGTGACGGTACGAAACATGGGGATATGTCTTCACCCCTCCTAGACGACGTGGGCTTAGCTCACGAAGTCTCACAGAACATGTTTCGCGCTCTCAGACCTTCCGTCTTGGATGCGCTGTCCAATCGTCTTCATGTGTCTCTGACATAACTCGCGACTCACAGGCTTGGTGCAAACATCACTAAGGTTCTCGTGAGTTGACACCGAGCGGAGGTCAATCTCCTTGCTCTTAACCTGCTGTTGTACCCATAGGTATCTTGTTTGTACGTGTCGGGTCTTTCCAAGACCCCTCCTCGAACACATGCCACGAGCAGCTGAAGAGTCGGACTTGACCACCACCGACACTGCTATGTGCCACTCAGCATACAGTGCACGTAGTCCGAGTCCGGCTGAAGCTGCCTTGACTATTGAGTAGAACTCGCTTTCTCCACTCGATAGTGTAATCGTGGATTGTACCGTTGAGGAGGTCTTCAAACAATGCTTGCCTGCCATGCATACAAGGCCACTGGTGCTCTTTCGCGTAAACAAGCACCCTGCGTGGTCACTGTCAGTGTAGCAGACAATGCTATTGTAGGCGTCTTGGGGGCAAAACTCTTGGATCACACGTGGACAGCCTTTGAGATACCGTCCCAATCTTTTGAGCTTTCCCCATGAATGCTCCGTGGGCGATGCCATGAAGCGCGCCAAGCTCTTGACAGTCTCACAGATGTCAACCCTGTCCTGGCTGAGGTGAGCACAGCGCATAACAACCGACCGATACAAGCTAGCTCGATCAGCTGGAAGCGGCTTGCCGCAAGTGCTTCCTGGGCGCTGACCTTCTCAGCGGGTGTAGCAACTGGCTTTGCATCTGCGAGGTTGAGCTGTCGAACCACTGTTTCTGCGCGCCTAGGGTCTGCTTCGTAACGAATCTTGCCCGTCGCACGGTCGAACTCCATAATGCGGTTGAGCACTGTCACCGAAGTTCCATCGCATGCGTCAGGACCGATGGATCCGCCAACTCTGAACTCAAATTTCTTCTTAAGCACGTCTTCGACGAATTGTTGTCCTTTGGAGTCTGCCAGCACAACGAAATCGTCTCCGTGACACAAGAATCTTGAGTCTGTGGGCTTGTGGTAAAAGATCGCTGGCCACGCTGTACCGTGAACAATTCCATGTTCCTCTAACAGCTTGGTGTATGTCTCCTGCCACACAGAGGACGCGTCCTGCGTCCCGTACATAGTCTTCAACAACTTTGCACACTTCCCGGGAACCTCACGTCCCGGTGGCAAGTTCGTGTAGACTGGCCTTCTAGATAATCCGTAGAACTGTGCCCTGCTAATGTCGAGGATTCTCAACTTCAAACGTCCACCGTGCTTGCTGGTCTTCTGTGACACCATAAGGCTGCGTAGAAACTTGAGTGCCTCCAGAGGGGGCATAGCCGAGAACAGTTCTGAGTCCTCGAGCATTTGACCCTCCTTTTTCACCTCTCGCACCACAAGGCGGGATCGGTAGTTCGGTCGCTCCCAATCCCCTTTGTTTCGGTCTACCCACTTGAGGGTTATTGGTGCCTTTCCTGTCACCTCCCAGGCTTCGTCGATGTCGGCAACCTCATATATCTGTTGCTTTTCAACCCATTGAAGTTCCTCTTCTCTTGCCTTCCACACCTCTGCGTGAGGAAGAGAAACACCTGTAACAGAATCGAAAATCAACTCTCCATCATCTTCTTCAAGATCTGTAGGAGGTGAAAGCTGCCCTGGAATCTCATTGCTCTCGCCGTCTGGCGACGGTCCAACTCCATCCAAACTTGTTGCAACGGAGTTCAGCTCATTCCTATTTCGAAGTTCCTGCTTGACTGCCTTCAAAATAGCCTTGACCAACTTCGGAGGATAAACTTGGGCAAACCCTGCACGGCCATTGATGAGATGAACGCGACGGTGTCCACCTTCACAATGCCCTTCTAGCAGCGTGGCTAGAATCTTGGAGTTTGTGACAAACTGGGTTTCTTTTCTCACATAGCCAACACCTGTTGCATCTTCTCCAATCATTTCCCAGCGGCACATAGGTCCGCTGATTGTGTAAACGTTTGCGTTTGCCTGAAGCTCGATCATTCGTGGGTCCTTCCAGCTGGTTGCCCACTTTGGATGCTCACGCAAGAACAGCCTCCCAGATTGTAATTGGGTCCAATAGGCATCGATCGATGTGTGTAGATGTTTTCGTCCTTCTCTCTGCACTCTCTCAAACTCTTTGGGATCTCTTTTGAACTTTGTGAGATTTTGCAATGGCGAGAATGGACCACAAATTGGTGATCCGACCAGGAGTAGAGGTCTGGTACGATGTAGCAGCTTAAACAAGTCACTGATGTCCTCCCTCCGACTCAGATCCCAGAATTCTCCATCCATCCTTTTGACCGACAAATCGATCGCGCTGGCTGCAAGCCGAACTCACTGGCTCGACTGGTGAAACGTGCCGGACTGAAGATCTCGGCAATGTCGGCACCTGAAGCTCCCAGAGCATGAAGTTCCAGCGCGATCTCCATGCTTTCATGCTTGCTTACATGTTCCTCCACCAAGCTTACAATCTCCAAAATGGATGCTGGTGGATCTACCAGGCTTTCCCGAGCTCGAACTGGTTGCGCCCTCAATCTCAAAACCTGCTTGCCGTTCTGCTTCTTTGGCCAGCTTCTCTATCGAATCTCCCTTGCGCTTTTCTCCTTGGATTGCTCCTGAACGCTGTCTCTTTGTAGGGCTTTCTGGTCGTGAGCCCTCTGCCTCTTGAACCGGCCGGTCCATGGGGCCGAATCGTTCACTGACCATGGGATCCGGCCGACCCACAGGGTCGACTCGTCCGGCCTCATCCCCTCCTTGACCCGACCGACCCGTAGGATCGATCCGGTCAGGTGGAGGTTGTCCTGCAGCGTCAGGTCCACGCATCTCCTCTTCTGCGTCTGGGATGTCTTCCATGACTTCCGTGCCATGTGGCTCGTCTGCATCTTCTGCTATCTGGCCTTTTCTCTTCTGAGCAAGCAGCACTCTCCGCTTGCCCTCCTCGGTCTTCATCAACCTCTGTTGGACCAAGGTTCTGCACTCAGCACTATGGGCCCTTGCAGGAAGTCCAACTGCAATCGCGATGCAGCCTGGGCAACCCGCCGTTGGATTGTCCTCGACGTCCTTTCGAGTGACATAGAGGTTCCTGGTTGAGAACTCTTTCTTGGCCGGCTGGACTCAGCTTTCCCGAAGCTTCTGGCAGGTCGATGCGGACTGCAGCATCCACATCCTCCTCACTTTGCGGCCTCATCCTCCAAGGCGTCCCCCGGAGCTTATCAAAGCCTTCTGCTTTCCAGCGATCCTCGACCGCCTTGCGCTCACGCTTCCGCCTTTGATCACGCCATTCTCAGTCACGATCATCACATCTCCATTCCTGCCATGGGTGCCCACGTAGACACCAGAGTCCAGCTTTGCCGCTAAGTCACTGCGGTCCTTCACATAGGCCTTGAGTGGCCTGAACCACACCTGCTCTCCGAAGGTCACCATTGGCCTTCTCCATCCCTCACCCTTCAGCCTCTCGTAGGCTGTCCGACCGTCTGATCCCACTCTGAAGCGGGAGATCAGGAAATTCCCACGCCTCGCCATCCATGTGAGGATCGGGCGCTTGTCCTGGATCTCAATGCCAAGACTCTCCTGCAGCGCTCTTCACACTGCCTCTTCGACTCTCTTACTGACACCTCCACAGCGCCAGTCGAGGGCTTGTCACCCGTCTTGCCTTCCTCCAAAACAATCTCAACTTTTGCCACCTCCTTGACTTTAGTCTTGAGTGATTTGATGGCTGGCTCATTGTCGGACTTCAAGATAATGCGCTTATAGCCACATTCGTCCAGGATCCCCAAAACATAGTCCACAGCGAATCGGTCTGGCCCCTTCGCTGGAACCACACACGCCCAAGTCATGCCTGAGTGTTCATCTTTCACTTGCAAGCTCGGCAGCTCATGTTCTCGCTCTCTGTCGTTGGCGCCCTTCCAGAAGTAGTCTAAGCTGATCCTCGGAAAGGCTCGTTGTGCTTTCTCATCTTCGGAGACTTTGACATGTCGCTCACGCAAACCGCGGGCACGAACGCAGTGCCCACACCAAGTGCGGTAGGTCGTGTGGTCTGTCACCTCATGCTCGTCAATCTCTTCTTGCGTGGGACTCTTCGGACTCCTCAGCCTCTTGGGAGCCCGCTGCTCAGCACCCTCGTCGGCCCCATCGACGAAGGTGTCCTCTTCTGTCGGACTTACGGCCTCGTTGCCTGCCGGGGGCCCAGCACCACCAACTGCTCCGAGGTCCTCACCGTGGTCGTCCTTGCAGTTGTCACCGCGTTGAAGCCAAAGGTCGAAGCAGTAGATGCCGCCCTGCTCATACATGTTCGTCCGGCGTTTTGCGTCTTTCGGGCGCCTTTGGATCAATTGCTTCAAGCTTCGCCGCGCGCCGTCTGCAATCGGCCCATTGTTCGGGATGATGGTGCCCGTGCTTCCATCCAACATCACGCTTCTTGCCAACAGCTGAGCCCGAAACCAACATGCGGTGGACGTTCACAAGACGTCCAGTCACAGATCGCCCTTGGCCATCGTTGTCGTAGCCATTGAGCACTGCGCCGCCCTCATCAGCTAACAGCTCGCCGCTCGCAGTCTTGTAATTCCTGGTGACCGTCTCTGAGGCTACCAAGCCAAGCTTCTGCTTCAGTACGCTTGGGATTGCAGTCACGGCCGCCCCAGTATCGAAGTTGGCAACTATGTGGGTCCATTCCTGCGGACCAATCTCATCGGTGCCAAAGCTATTGATCTCAGCCCGCGATGACTCATTCGGGATGAGCCTCGCTCGAGACATGTCCTTCCCAACCTTCTCGTGTCGGGCGTCGATGTGATGTCTCTCGCGGTCAACTTCTGAATGGATCATCGGACACTCTTTTCCCTTTCGGCAAAAGTTCTTGACGAACTTCTCGCAGCGCAGCCTTTGGGTGGTTCAAGTAGAAGGCTTCAGTCTCTGCTTTCTTCCGCCTTCTCCTGGCCCCTTTGACGCGGGCGCGCCTCTTGTCCTTCTTCTGCTTGTCCATCTTTCTCACACGGCCTGCGAAAATGTTCACTCTCTTCTTCCTCATCACTTGGAGCTCATCGCCTTTGGTTTCAGTCTTGAACTTCTCCACTTCGTCCTGCGTCAGCCTGCGATATTTCTTCTTGAACTCAAACAGATTGCCCTTTTCTTCAGACTTGATGGCCTGTCCAGTGTGGATGCGGACAGTCTTGTCATCCACTGCAGAAACTGCTTCAGTCTCCATGCCGCCTGCAGTGTCATACTCCTCTTCCTTTTCTGGCCTGTTGGCATCGTCGAACTCTGCACGCCAGGCCAAGTCCGCCTGCTTGAACTCCTCACGCCTCTGGACGCTTCCTGCTTTGCGATGCATGGCTGCCTTCCTTCTCTTCTTCTCTTGGGCCCATGCTTGTGAATGACTTATGCCGCGCTTGATGGCTTGATGGTATCGGCTGTCATGCCAGCTTTGGTCAAGGATGTCCACCTCAGACGCCTTCCTCTTTGTGGCCTCTCGAGCTTTGCGGTCATCATCCAAGACCTTCTCCTTCATTTTCTTCTTTTGAGCCTCGAACTCCTTGATCTCACCTTCGAGGCGGTTGACTTCTTCGTCATCCTCGGCAATCTCAATTGCTGCGCGGCGCTCGCGGATCTCCGTGTCCAAGTTCGTGATCTCCATCCTCTCTATCGCGCGATGCATCGCTGGCCCCGATGCCATGCCTTCTGGCCTGGATGGGAGCTCGGCCAACCGAGACGGTTGACTCGGCTCTCCCGACTCAGGACGGCCAGAGCCACAGGCTTGACTCGCCTCAAGCATGGTCTCGGTGACCTTCTCGAAGTACGCTACTCTGAGACTGCCTCGATGCTTTTCGATCTCCTTCAGCATCTCGTCCCCGGATCGAACCGTCCGGGTCCAACTTGTCTCTCATAGCCTTCTTCGAGGTTTCATTCACAGAATCGAAGCGCTTCTTGGTGATTCCTTTCATCATGCAGATGGTCTTGTCCAAGATATACGGGAAGTCTTCCGGCTTTGTCATCCGCAGCACTTCAAAGATGGCTGTGAGCGTGGTCTTCTTATTCAAGACTTCCAAGTCCGAGTCACACAGGTTGCACATGTGGTTGCTGTGTGCGCCAGTCATGCCGCAGCGCATTCGAAAGCAACAGCAACAACATTCGACGCAACGATCCTCAATTGGCGCAGAGGTTTCTTCAAGGACCATCTCATACTCTTCATTGTGATCCTCTGTCTCTTCCTTGACCGTCTCCAATCCAGCAAGGCTCAAAAACCCGGTCTCTGCTTCCTCAGCTTCCGGCTCGAAGTCTTCATCTAGGCTGCTGATGCCCTTGGCGTCCTTGCCTCCACCTCGGCCACGTCCGCCCTTTGGTTTGGGCTTGTTCGCCTGGCCGCCTCCAGCTTGCCAGCAATCCTTCACCAGGTGCCCGACTTTGCCACAGTTGTGACACCTTCGATCCTCGGTCTTTGTGCCTTTGCCGCTAGGAGCCGATGTCTTTCCTCCTTTTCCTTTGTCTCGAGGCTGCCAGTTGTTGTAGCCTCCCTTCTTTCCTCCTTTGCCGCCCTTGGGATCCTTGCTCTTGTCTTTGCCTTTGCCGCCTTTCTTGCCACCCTTGCCGAAGCCGCCAATGTCCATGGGAACGGCATCATCAGGTTGAGCCGCACTGCCAATCTTCAAACGGTTTCCCAAACGGGTCTCAAGGTAGAGCGAAACTTCTGCCCTGACCTCTTGGTACGTGCCATATCGAGCGCGGTTCAACTGCAAGTGGCGCTCCAGTTCGGAAGGGCATAGGTGCTCGATCACAGCAATTTTAATCTCATCATCTAGGGTGTGCCGCGTCCCGTCATTGCGCTTCCTTGACTCATCATAAAGTCGATGTTGTTCCTCCCAGAGCTCGATGGTGTTGGACAGATAATCGAGCTTGTTGCATTTCTGTGGATTGAGAATGTGTCTCAACATGGTCCTCCTTCGACCACCAGTTGATGGATCGAATCGGCGAACCAAACGACGCCAAGCCTCAAGTCCATTATTCTTGCCAGAGGAGCGAACTATGGTGAAGGCCTCTCCCTTGCAAAGCGTCTGGAGTACCGCGAAGAGCTGCGCGTTCATCTGCTGAATCTCTTTGCAGTGACCTTGAGTTGGTGAAATCTCTCCCCAAGCATTCTCGATGTCTCTTTCTGTTATGGTCTGCGTGCATTCCTCACACCAAGGTAGCACATCGTCGAAGTCGCTGAAAACCGACGTCACGAACGCTTCAAGCCGCGTTCGCCAGTATAGGAAGCTCTCTTTCCTTCCAGTGAACTTGTCAGGCTTCGCCAGGCCTTTGTTGTCGATGAGAGACATCTGCCGTTTGTCCTTGCTCTTGAGGGTCTCAACCAACTCCATCTGGCTGTTCGCCAGTGCAGTGAATGCTGCTCCAACATCCGGTGGCAATCCGTTTGCCGTCACCGATGCCGCCTGCTGTGCTTGCTGCTGTTGGGTGACTCGCAATGCCTCGATCTGTGTTCGCATCTGTGCTTCCCTTTGCTGGCCTTCATTGACCTGCACTTGGAGCTGCTGGACCGCCTGCACGAGTTCCTGAGGTGTTAGTCCTGCCTGTCCTGCCATGGAGGTAGATCGAACTGGACCTGCGAAGGTGTCCTGGCGCAGTGGCCTCTTGAAGATGTTGTCCAATCTGGTGGAATAGGCGCTGCAATCGCCTTGTTCTCTGGATCTTCCTGACCAATCTCCGCCACTTGCCCAGGATCCTCTCTTCTCGCCTCAGGCGCTCCCGTCGAAGCCGGCCAGCCGAGACAGCTGACACCGCTCCACAAACGAGGGCCAAGGCGGTGCTCCAACCCAGCGTATCAAGCACACCGGAACCCCAGGCCACCAGCTCGACCAGGAGCTCCGCTACCATGCACAAAAGTATGCGAGCTCAAATGCGCACAGCAGCACGGACAAGTTTCTTGAGCCAAAAGCGGTCATGTCGTGACGGTACGAAACATGGGGATATGTCTTCAGATTCCATCCAAATATATATATATATATATGCGCGACAGTGTATGTGTGTGTGTGTGGTAACCTGGCACCGGAACCCCTTTCGAATGACAAAGATTAGGTCCTTCCTCTGTCTGAAAGGTGTTTTTTAAAGCAGCTTTTAGTTAGGGAAAACAGCAAAACAGAATGGAAGAGACAGCACAAAAGAAATTCCATATACATGTATCGTATCCACAACTACATTTAACCAAAATCATCCAAATTCTAGTTCTTTCAGCTCTAAGCATGAGAATGTTCGGACAAATATTGCATGAAGTCCTTGGACTTCTCTGCAAAGGCTACACCTCAGGCCAGCATTCATTGAACAGGTCGTTGGTGACCAAAGTGCTCCGAGGCTTCAACCATCTCCGACCAGCAACTCCACTTTTGGGTTGCCTGCAAGACTGAGCTATCGGGAACTGCTGAAACCTTTGCTATGAGGCCGAAACCTTTGGCTACAGCGCCCGGTTAGACTGATCTGCTGTGCAATTTGAGTGCAGGGAGGTGAACGAAAGCAAGCGGAAGTTGCATGTCGGATCAGTGAGACATGTCGTTCAGCGACATTTCTTGCAGATGAGATACGTTGAGATGACCTTTGCTCGGGTGAGCCTTGAGGCCTTGAGATTGTGCATTTTGAATTTTGGGACGCAAGAGCTCAATGTCAGTCGCGCAACCCTGGCACGTGATTTGCTCAATGAAAATTCGAAAGGCCCCCCCCTGACAAAACGCAGCCGCCGAAGGTCATGATTGCCCAGGGACGTCACAGTTGGGTGTCCATGCCTGTGACCATCTGCGACGGTCTCTGGCCTTCAATACTGACTTGGATCTTGCACGACACGATCCATTTAACTTCCAACAAAATAGCATTGCGCAATTGACTTCAGAAGTTCAGGAACTTGTCCCTCCACCCTCCAAGCACTCATTGTCTGATGTTGCGCAACCTCACTCAACGAAAAACAAGAGTGTCAGTCGGTGCCAAGAGAGTGGCACTGTGAAAAATGAGGGCGAATTGGTGGGAAGACACCAGTGAGATGAAGTGAAGATCCAACACTCCATCAAACAAATTGAGAGGAATAAAGGGTGTGATGGTGAGTGATGACTGGACATATGGAGAGCTTAGAAAGCAACAAAACAAAGTTGAGTTGAGGTGTCCGTGTCACGCGCCCTCCACAACCGTTGGGGACATAAGATTGATCTGCTCACTTTTGAACGAATATTATAGTTATTACAGTAGTTACAGACTTCTGCTGCCCCAGCCCCATCCTTCTGGGAGGAAGTGAAACTCCATGCAAGATGATGCTAGCTTCGCTGATTACGAAAGATCCAACATATGCACGTTCGAACTCTCGCCTATAGCTTTGGCCACACTTGGCATAAACTGCTTGGCAGCGTCCACCACGTCCCCATCAATCTCGCACCAAGTGACCTCTTTGCAAGTCTTCCTTTGGCATCACAAGCAAAAATTCAGTGTTCCTGCGTCAAACATCGTCCAACTTTGCACACCTTCTCAACGCAGCTGTGCTTTACCACCTCCCGGAGTATGCCACCATCACCTCCACCTACAATGAGCACCTGCGAGCTGTGACTGTGGCCAGATTGTATCACCATTTCTTCTTTGACAGAGAGGCAGCATGGCAGCTTTTGTATTCCCAAGCACACAAGCAAGGAAACAAATGCCTGAGTAGGCTCGCAGGAGAAGAGAGGCAAGTGCGCCAGCATCTCTTGGTACGACATCTCCTGAGCTTTCGACTGCCAGTAACAAGCAAAGCAGGAGGTGTGAGAATGAATTCTACCTGCCACGTTAGTTTCTATCAACTGGCAAAACACTCCGGCCTTTCTCAATCAATTCATTGAAATTGCGCAAGCCAGTGCTATGGCTCAGGAGGAGCTATCTGCCAAGAATCATCGCGTTCTGTAATCTGAATCACACCGTCCTCACAAGCAACACCCATCAGGGCAGATTTGGACCCCCAATTCTAAACTGCCAACAAGGACATTGAGGCCAGCGACCAAAACAATGACGTTGCCATGATTGGTGGATGCCTGGGCCAGGAACAAGAGAGAAAGACAATAAATTGTGAAGTTCCTCGAGGACTCAAGTTTCTTGGGTTCCAGCAAAAACAAGCAAATCCTGGAATTTGGTTTTCTTGTGAAGGAGAACTTCCTTCACCTGCTATTGCAAGGCTGAGATGAGAGATCACGAAAACAATTGCGTTTGAGGGATCCGGGATCACTGGCAATCAAAAATCAAACAAAAAAAAGCACCTGAAGCGCATTTGCCTGTCCAGGCCTCACACTGGTTACTTAATCCAAATGCCCTGACTCAAGGTTCGATACAACTCCAAGGCATCCACAAAAGAAGCCGGTAAATTTGGGCACATGAAGTTCACACAGCCAGCACATGAAACTTGGAAGGTCACCATTGCGCGTTCTTCTCCAAGAACCAGCCATTTTCAATCAGTGTCTCCTTACATACTGCAACATGTTGGACATGAGTGCGCAAAAAACGGTCGATGATTTACACAGGTTGGAACTCCTTTTCAATTTTTTTGAAGTGGTGCCTAAAATCAAACTGTTCTATGGAGTGATCTGTGCGTGTGCGTGCGCGCGTGTGAGTGTACACCTTGGATTCATAGGTAGCCGGTAGCCTGTTCTGTTGGTTCTAGCATGCAGGGGAGTGCAGCATGATTGTGGGACCGCACTCAATCATACGATAACGAGTTTGATCAAGTCGGCGTACCTGCACCTGAGTTATGAATGTTTGAGCCACTCCATGGGTTCCAAGTTGGAAGGTTTTAATCGACCTTTGCACTAAGGCTCATTCGTCCGCTTCGGACACCTTCTTCTCCGCCAAGGAGAACGAGACAAACCCCTGTTCAACAGAGCCACGGAGGGCACTTCGGTCACTCGGGGCTGGCACAAAGGCCAGACACACTCAGCATAACAGTGCATCCGATATGATTGTTGCATGCCACACGCCGACCGATGTGAACACCTGATGGGTGACAGTATGTAAAGCGGTCTGACCATCTGGAGGAGCCCAAAGTTGCGAGTGTTCCAAAGTCTCCAAATCAAAATCTTCAAATTCCAAAAAGGGCCACACGAACGAGAAACGGCGAGAGCGAACTGCGAGTACACACTTGCAGACCCGAATCGTCCTCCAACAGCCTTGAAGACCTCTAGGATTGGAACGTGGTCGTAGACTGGAGCGTGCTCAAAGCAAGCGGAGGCGCCAGTCCCTCGGACACGGCTCAGGGTGGCCGCAGCGGTCAGCGGCCATCCTAGTTTGGCCCTTAGTGTGCACACTGCGCATCACACACACACACACAAAAACAAACGAGGCGTGGTTCCCCAGGTTTGTTTTAAGGAGGTTTGGTTTGGTCTTGGTTGTCCCCTTCGTTTGGTGTCCCTTTCATCTGCCTTCGCACACTTTCTGTTTCCTCTTTCTTTTGATGTCTTTTCCACTTTCATGTCCGGTCATTTCATTCCTTTCCTTCTTTTGCACCCACACCAGTCTGGCCCTTAGTGCATGTGTTTACATTTAAACCAGGTGGTAGATGGCCCAGGCTTCCATAAGACGGTCTGGCTCGCCGGCTGCTCTCCTGTTCACTTGGCTCCCTTTCATCGCAACCACCTACCTTGTCTTTTTCATGTCTCTCCTTCATGTCTTTTCATCTGTCCTTCTTGCGTGCACGTGCACGTAAGTTTGCCTCCATCTGGGAGGCACGTGCATGTACACCTTGGATTCATAGGTAGCCGGTAGCCTGTTGGTTCTAGCATGCGGGGAGTGCGGCATGCACGAAGCTACCACAATCCTGAGATACCGAGTCTGATCAACTCGGCGTACCTGCACCTGAGTTATGAATGTTTGAGCCACGTTCCAATCGTAGAGGTCTTCAAGGCTGTTGGAGGACGATTCGCGTCTGCAAGTGCGTACTCGCTGCCTCGCTGATCGCTTTCGCCGTTTCTCGTTTGTGTGGCCCTTTTTGGAATTTGAAGATTTTGATTTGGAGACTTTGGAACACTCGCAACTTTGGGCTCCTCCAGATGGTCAGACCGCTTTACATACTATCACACCTGGATTCTCGGGTTTTCATACCTAGGTCGCCGTGTGGCATGCGGCATTCCTATCGAACGTACTTTTGCCATGAGTCTGTGTTTGTCGTTTAAATCACGTGCAGTAAGTGCACAACTCGCCACCGCAAGTCCAAATGATAATAGCATCTAGCATGCAGGGAGAGGGTAGTTTCTACAGAAATGATGTAACTATCGAAATCAGAAGATTAGAGACAAAAAACAAACGGGTGATTCTGAATCTGCCTTTCCCCTAACAGGGCAAGAGTTGAGCATTGAGAGGATATATATATATATATATATTTATGCCACGAGTCCAAGAGAAAAGAAAAGGTTGCAAGAAGACCGCAGGTCTAAGGGGGATCTATCAAGAAGTGAAGCATAAAGCAGCTCTGAAAATTGCAATTAGCAAGCAACACGAAACAGCGATGAATAGAACAAGTTATATATATATATGTTAGATGTATGTATATAACGAACAAATCCATCTCGAAACATTGAAGCCTGAGTTGGAGCAGCGGTCAAAGCTTTCTCTGTATTGATACTTAACTATTGGACCAAGAAGTAATTATATAGCTACTTGTCCATCCGGTTTAAAAGGCTTTGTGAGAGACAAAGTGTTGCCCACCTGTCACGAGACCTCTGCAAGAGTCGCAGCTCCGAATGCAAACACAATCACCCAGGCTTGGGTGCAGACGCCATTCAGTGGCTCGCCCATTTGCAAATTTGCCAATGGTTGGCTCTTGCAAATAGCCAAAAAAATGTGTAAACGTTTGCTTGAGGGTGTCCCGTGAAAGTATGCCCACGGGTGGCTTCTTGAACGAAGGAAAATGCTTGGTTTCCTGATACAAGCTGAAGTTCGACTTCAATTCATGCAGGATCTCTTGGAGCCGTGCCTGCAAATATCATGTGCATGTGATTGATCCCAAATCATGGCTGAAGAGACATCAGTCTTCCAAGTGAAATTCCATCAAACTGCCCATATCTTTTACACATCACTAGTGGTTCATGCAAGTTGCTTCTCATTGGAACGCATTTTTGCCGCAAACTTATGCAGTTTCTTCCGCAGCTGGCTTCACACAAACTTTCATGCGTCTGCAGCTGCACAGTCAGATTGAAACCGTGCTATGCCAGTGGTATGCTAAAACGTCCTCAGCAACCTTCCTGCAAAACAGCTGGCCAGCGAGCGGTCGCTGGTGAAAACTCAAGACCCAGCCGAGCACTCATCTGCATTCCAAGTGCTAGTGCTCGAACTTTCGTCCAATTGCGCCTGAGGGTGGTTTCTCTGCAGCACGTCCACCAGCCATGGGTGCTGCAGTTTTGCTTCAACCACGAGTGATGCTTCAAACACGGTCTGGTTCAATGGGAACTTTCACCCCTCATCTTGGGTGTTACCAGCTGGCGAGTGCTTGCAAAGGAACTTGGCGAACTTCCACATTCACAGGACATTGCAAAAAAAAAAGCAAACTGCAAGACAACTTCAAGACCGAACAAATCCCCAAAAATGGCGGCCAAAAACACTCGACCAATTGACGGGTGACACCCTAGAACCCCACCTCTGATGAATTGAGCCTGGAGAGTGGCAATTGATCAGCGAACAAACGATCGCAAACCTTGTTGGCACGCAACTCCAAGTCCTCTTGAGTGCTGGCAAAGCTCCTGACATTGCAAAAAAAAAAAGAAAGGAATGCAAACACAAAACATGTCTCAGAACCTTGTAGCCTCCACCATTCTATGAACAGCATATCGTCACAGCACAATCCAAGTCACCCTGGTGCGAAAACGACCGCAAGCTCTTTGTAAACTGCCTGGCAGCGCTCGGACTACACGTGCTGATTGCTGCCTAGGACCATCCTGTAGCCTTTCTCTTATGCAGTGTGTCTGGATGACATGTACTGGTTGCAAGACATGGCTAGTGAACCACGCATGACACTTCGTTGCATCTATGGGGGGAAACACACGAAAGCAGGAAATGGTGTCTGACTCCGACCATGAAAGTGGATTTCTTTATATACAACACCCATCATCATGACGCCCCTTGCCTCTCAACCTCGTAGTCTTCTAACATTAGTGACAGTGGATTTTAGCTTGGATGCAAAACATACAGGCAATCTTCATCCAGTGTGAGTCGGTGATTAAAACATGTGCTCAATTTTCCACCAGAGTACGGCGTGCAATCAGTACCAACACATCTGAGCTACAGTACACGTTCAGCGAAGCTTGTAGCATTGTAGCTCATGAAATGAACTTTGTTGCCATGCAAACGCTCAGGTTCTGAACCAGCGAAGGGCCCGACGCGTCATGACGGTCAACACTATGCGTAGTTACTCAGTATGCTTCTTCCTTACGTCCTTTATCAGCTTGAGGTTGTTTCACTCTAAACTTGGCAGCTAGACCTTCACAATTTGAATATAAAGCTCAGCATCAATCTCAGCACGAAAGGTCCAGAAAGCACGTAGCTCCTTGAAAAAGGTTCTTAAACCAAGGGTCAGGTGTGCGTCCAGCTCCACCGCATAGCTCTGCAATGCTCTGCAATTCTCACAGGTCTGTCCTCATAGAAAGACGGTGGCAAGCTGTGGCTCTCCTCCGCAATGATTGGAACGATTCCACATGGCAAGTCATGCACCTCAGCTTCTGCGGCTTCCAATCTCAAGCTCATACGACGGCATCACTAGGCTTCTGAAATGCAGTGAAAACCAAGTAAGTTCCTGCTTTGTTCACTCCACGGTTTTCACATTGCTTCAAAGGAACATACAGTAAACAATTGGACAACAGACTGGCTTGCATTTCAACCACTTGAGGTACAGTAAAAGCCTCAAGGCCGTTTCTAACGCCAAATGCTGAGATGTAGCACCTGCATAAGCCAGTGTGCGAAGGTAGGAGACAAAAAGCAACCCTTCGTGATGATCACAACCACGGTGCTGGCTTTGTTGGGCACCTTGTTCAAGACAACAATATCAAGACAGTCTAAAAGAATACTCCATGATCAAATTCAAGCATACGGACAGAATTCCTATTCAAGTGCGCTGCAAGTTTGAGATGGGTTCTGGCCTTCAGTTGATGTTGCAGAAGTCTGGGCATGATGCTGCCAACCATGAGCTTCTTCTTTAGGTAGCTCCTTGGAGAGATGTCATAAACGCAAACAATACCAAAAAACAAGAAGGGTCGAGGATCACACTCATAAACATGATACAGTTCCTACAATGCAGTTGAGCGGGTGGATGTGTACATCCTGCGTCATGATAGCCGTATTGCCAATTTGCAGCCTCTAATGATCTCGACTGATCTGACCAAATGGCAACAGAGTTGGATTTGTGAAAGGGTTGCCAAGCAAGCTCTTTTTAAGCCTATGCATGTGGCATGGAAACACGGCTGCCAAAGCAGGTTCACCCACTGAAAGGCTTCACTGGCAAGCCACTAAGCGAATGGTAGCAGTGATGTGTCACCCACCACTCATGAGACCAGCCATGCAATGCCAGGGTGTTGGAAAATTGTCTGCCAGTAAGAAGCAACAAGGATCTGCATAGGGGCCACCCTTCATCATGAGAAGTGTGCCAAATCACATATGACAGTGTCTCTGCATTCAAATCCCTCTTTTGTCACAGGGCATGGAACGACAAAAAGTTCTGCGAACCAGCACGTGTTTGTTTATCCTCCGACAAATCATTGGGACGCTAAAACACCATGGAATGGTCGGAAAAAGTGCTTTTTGACCTGTTGTTTTACAGGGTTTGGGAGATTTACGAACATGGTCGCTTCAGACTGGTGTTTGCATCATTTTCGGGGGTCGGGGGAGTGGGGAGGGTTGGGCTGGGAATAACAATGTTTGCATATGTTGTTTTGTTAGATGTATGCGGTTACACCATGCACTTCTCTTTTCGTTGTGTTCGATGTTTATCGTTGCTCCTTGCCGTTTGTTTAGAGCCATGGAACTTGAGGTTGAAGAGGTGCTGACGGTGAGTTTGGTTTTGTTGCATTTAGCATGGGTGGACCGGAAACCAGTCTTGCCACATTGTTTCATGTTTAGGAAAGAACGCTGGAATTCTTTGGGGCACCACCCTAAGCGGGCGGTCGCTCCAGAAGACCTGGACTTCTTGTTCTGAGAGTGAAAGAGCTTTCGCTGGGGGCACTCACATTTCACACGTAAACACAAAAGGCCAAGCAAGTATTGATTCCTGCGGACGCGTCTCGACACACCGTCCGACCGTTCTTCATTCCTGCTGTTAATGCTTGGCCAACTCAGAACTGTTCTTCACCACTGAAGCTCCTATTCCTTGGCCATTTGCTTCTTCTTCAGTCTTTAGACTTTAAGACATGTCCTGTTGAAAGCCCATTATGGCCCCTAATATCAGTACTCCACGGCAAACCTGCAAGTGAATCATATGACTCTCTAACAGTATGGCAGTGTACGCTTGTTACAGAATCGGGAAACAAACAAGTTCTGCTTCTTTCCTTTTGAGTATCGTTTGGATCATCTTTTCCTTTGTTTTCTTTGGGTTCCTATTCATCGGTCAAAAGGAGGCTTGAGGCCGGCTTAGGTTTCAAGGAGCTCTGCAAAAAAGAGTCCAATTTCCCTTTTTAGTCCTTGAAAAAACAAACAAAAAGTTATACCAACCAAATTCCTGTCAATTGTTTCTGGATTAGTTTCACCCATCCCTCCCACTGAAATGTTTGAAAGGGTGGATGTTGACCAACCAAGGCACGTATGTAATCTATAAAAAGTTTAACAACTCCACTTTTGGTGCCAGTGGGGTAAGCTGTGATCTGCTCAAACCTGCCGCGAACGTGAATGATAACGGGAACGAAGGCGGCATGCTCCTGATAGGGGCTTCGGAAATTGAATGGCAATGGCAATGTCGAGCAGGCGACATTTAGACATTGGTGGCGGGTTCCGTGGCCAATACAACCCATGTAACGAACACACAAAGTGGTTATACTATATACTATTTATATACATTCTTGGCAGCTTAAGAGGCCCTAACTGCTGTAAATTGCCTTTTTTCCTCAAGTCACAATTTACCAAACACCCAATAGTATGCCCATGTTTTCCAACACGCCAAGTCTGGCAGGATCTCTATGGTGGCCATCTTTCACACCCCGCAAGACTGTCCCATGCTCAAGCCAAGGGAGGGGCAAAGCAAGGGAGGGTGCGCTTGAGGATGGACATGCATGCAATCGAAATTACAAGACAATTTCTCAAGCTGTTGTAGATTATTTTATTTGGGATGCAATAGAAAGGTATCTGATGACTGCGTAGATTCAGTTGGACAGGTCAATAGTGGGTGTCCTGTTTTGGGGACGAAACCTTGCCAGCCTCAGTTGCTGCCGCCGAATTCGATCGGCTGGTGATGAACGGCCAGACTGCTGGTTGTTGAGGTGAGAAGCCAAAGCCAACACCACAGAAGGACAATCACCAAACAAAGCCAAATGGGTGGAAGAAGGGGCCAGGCGAGGCCCATGCAAGCCAGGAGGCCCAAAACAAGGCCAAGAGCAAGAAGTGGTGGCAATGAGAAGGGCGGAACATGCCCCGCAGGCCGCAGGACAGCCCAGGCCCCAGCTCGAGGCACCTGAAACCACTTGGAGGCCACAAACCGCAGCTTCCATGTGCTTGAGGACGGGCATTCATGCAATCCAAATTACAGTGTAAAGAAACAACCGTTTTGGCTCTCAATAATGTATACATTATATATATATATATATATCGTACAAAAAAATTGCAGATTCCCGAAATTGTGTTTGCGTCCTTTTGGCTCAAATTTGGTGC